CAAAAGCAGTATTGCCTCTTCATGATACAAGGGAACAAGTTATTGGACTTGCAAAGTAAGTATCCTTCCTTCAGTGAACATAACTGTTTAAGTATCGTAACACCTACAGCACTTTCAGCATTGTAGACAAGCTGGCTAGGTTAGCTGACCCACATAGACATTCCTTAAATGACTCCTTCAGATATCCCAAAAGCTGTCCTGTGGAACTCGTCTATTTGAAAAAATTAAAGGATTGCTGAGGGCGTCCTGCAGTATAACTGTGGGAACTGGGAAAGTTATTGTGTCTGGCAAGATTTCTGTTTCTAAAATCATGGAGGATTTGATTCCTTTTTGTTCTGTGCAATTGGTAGGAGTCTCATGAGATTTATAGAGAAACCTTAAAGGAAATATTCAATTGATTTCATAGGACAGGTCAGAAGGCTTGGTTGTCAGAGCATGTCACAGCAAATTCAAATTTCACAAATGTCTTGGAAAACACAGGCTTGTTGCAGATGCCATGGGTGGAGACGTCGAGAGAGACAAACTCCATGAATTCAGCTGGGAACTCCACCTCAGTGAACTGAAATACGAACTGAAGTCCAACATCGTCCCTATTGGAAAGATTAAAAAGGGAATCTTCTACCACAGAGCTTTACTGTTCAAGGTGGTATCACATTTCAGTCCTTCCTCTCCGCCACTGAAGGGTTTAGATTTCAGTTTCTGTTAACACATCATTATTGTGTCATTATTGTTTTATTTGTCTGATGTATTTATCCAAAAAAGCTTGCATTACAACTGAACCCTTTAAACTTAAAGTGACAGTGAATAAGGCACAAGGCTGAGTTCTGATGAGAATGGTTTAAAACAGCTGCTGGGTGCAACAGTACAACACACAGTGGGAAACAAAAATGCAGAGGAAGATACAGGAAACCAGGACAGATATTCTTAAACAGGCAAACAAGGGAAAAAAGACTGAGCATAATACTGAAAATGAAAGTAGGCAGCAAAATTAAGAGACCATCAAAATGTGCCCTTAGTTTGAAATTGAGATTAATTTACTTAACGATGTGCACATGAAACACCTAAGACTTCTCAAGAGTCCAGGAGGATTTCTAACACATAACAAGCTCTAGGGACTATTTCTGTTTTGGTCATTCTGGGATCTCCAAGCCAAGGCAAGTGGGGATGGCACCAGACTTTCGTTGAAGAAAATAATAAATCAGCCAGCATGTTTTATGAACGTTTGCATCAGTGCTTTTCAGTCCTGTGCTCTGTATGCGTTTTCAAGATTCTGCTTATGAATGAAAATGTAAGCAACATTTGTATGAGTAGCTGAAAGGAAGGAAAAAGTCCATAATTACTATTTCAACATTGGGTATCTCAGCAGTCATTGAAATCCACAAGTGACTTAAACCGATATCAAATTAATACTTATTACAGGAGGTTAAAGAAAGATTTTATTTTTAAAAATCGGTTGAACTCATTAAAAAAACACCTTTCCTGTTCTCTGTACTTCTTCGCTTCAACGTCTTAAATAAAAAAAGTTCATTCTCAGTAAAACAAAGCCCCCTTAGTAAACAGCAGACCTCTTCTTTCTCAGGCTTTGGCAGACAGAATTGGAATCAACTGCAGCTTGGTTCGTGGAGACTACAACAGGGCGTGGAATGAGGTGGCGATAGTGGAAGGATCCCCTAAAGTTCCTGGACCTCGTCTTCAACCAAAAACCTACATAGTTGACCTCATTCACAGGCCCGGACGTCTAATGAAGAACAGCAGCCCTGAGGCCATCCAGTATCAGACCATTTAATTCCCCATCTTCCTTACACCACAACGACATGGCCACAGCAGACGTTCATGTGCACAGAAATGGGATGTGAAAGATGTTCGTTTTACAGTTTGAAGAAGTATTGAATATTGTTAAGTCGTGCTTTGAAAAAATGAAATGAATGGAATGTTATGAATGTATGGTTTCTTAGTGAATTACAGTAATCACTATGCATTACAGAAGTGGTATGCTAATTTTACAGCTCCCTAATATGAGTTGCATGTTTTGGTTCTACAATTTCGTATTTGATGGGCTGCATGGTACCCTGAGGGTTAGCATTGCTGCAGCACAGTGCTGAGTCTCTGGGATCAGTTTCTGGGGTGCTGTCTGTGTGGAGTTTTTATGTTCTCCCCGTGTTCTCATGGGTTTCCTCTGGGTGCTACAGTTTCCTCCCGCAGTCCGAAGTCCAATACTGTTATGTTAATTGGCTTCTGGGAAAATTAGCCCTGGTGTGAGTGTGTGTGTCTGTGTGTGTCCTGATATGGACATGCGACCTACTGTATTTAGTTTGTATCCTCCCTTGAGCCCATGTCTTTCTGTGATAGGTTCCAGATCTCCATTCACCCTTTATTGAATAAAGTTGCTAGAAAATGGAATGATGGAATTTTGTATTAGAAGGATATTCATGATAGAAAAAAAGAAACCTATTGAATTCGCTGTTGATCTGGGTTTCACATATGCATATATTTTTCAAAGTGGCTTTGAGAATCTTTCACTTCCTTGCTTACTGTAATACAGTACTTAAAGCATACTGACATCTGTTGTCTGTTTGCGTTCATATCTTCTGCATGCCTTTACACTTCAATCTTCTACACCTTCTGCTTTTCACATTTTTTGTACACAGTGGTGTTCTGAAAGCTTCTTGAGAGGGTATTTTGAATGACACCTGTTCCACTCTGCTCCCAACACATACTGTAGCACCAGAAGTCATTGACATGACATGCAGACCTCTTTTGGATACTAGCAGTTACACCAGTGTTGACGTAAAAAATTTAAATCTAATAATAGCCTGTGGAAACAAGCTGCAGTTATTACCTTTGTTATGAGTAGAAAAAAATTTGCATATATTTCCAAAAGGAAATTCTGTCAAGTTTGGTTGTTGTACAATGCTAAGTAGTTAGTAATGAGAACTATTTTTACCAGCCTGGTGCTCAGTGGTTTTGAAAAGTCAAAGACACCTTGCATACAATTCTGGGACAAATCTGTTAAACTAGTTTTATCTTGTTTAGAGAGGTTCAGAACACGGTTTTCTCTAAACTTTTCACAGTTGCCAACAGTCATCAAATACCATTACTCAGCCTGTCTTATCATCTAGATTTTATCATCTAGATTTCTGTCTAATGTTTGCTTTTAGGAAAACTGAAAGTACTGTAGGTGTGTGTGTGTCAATGAACTAGGAAATATCTAATGTAACCTTTTAGGCACCTCTGTGGAAAGCTATTTTCTCCTTCTGGACAGTTCTCTATAACCTGAACCACAACAGATATTAAGAACATTAACATGAGAGTCAAGTAATAGGTTGCTGAAAAGAGAAGAAAGAAAACACAATGTTTCGGCTGTGGAGCCTTCTTCAGGTGTGAGGAATGTTGTGTTTCCTTTCTTCTCTTTTCAGCATGGAATAAACCTATTACTTGTTCCTTTGCAGCCTACGCATGCTGACGCAATATTAATGAGGATCCTATGCAGAAAAATCAGGATGAACTCCAGAGGCAAGTCGATTTAACAGTCCGAGGTCCGAAAGCCGAAGGAAAACAAACAAAAGTACAAAATCAGAAGCGGAGCCGGAAGCCGAGAGTCTAAGCCAGAGTGATAATCAAAGTACCAAAACAAAACCAGGAGAGGTAGTCGGAAAACAAACTAGGGTCAGGATGCCAAAAACCAAGATGTAACTAATTGCAGGGAGACGAGGTAGCTTTAACCAGGAAAGCCTAATACTGAGCACAGAGGAGAGTGTGAAGCAGCATTAAATAGGCTGGGGTAAAAAAGCTAAAAGGGAACCGTGCTGGAATGCGAGGTGGAATGACGAGTCCTCTGGGGGTGTGGCGTAACAGCAGCTACCCACCTGAACTACATTGAAATGAGAGTCTTCTTCAATCTTTGACCCCACTCCTGGAAAGCCCTGGCCCAGAAAGTTTAATAGGTCACAATTAAATTTCTTTACACAACAATTTAGAGATAATTTAGGATTGAGGCTCTCTACAACAAGGGCTAGACATCCTCATAGTGTATCAGGACACCGGCACATGGAAGGAAGCACAAGCAAGATGTACACTAAAATACACTACATCATGAGCTTTTCTGTACACGTATGAGGGAGCGTGGCGAAAGGCATACTCACTGACTGATTTAAGAGAAACAGGAACACCATTGTGAAACCACAGAAGATATTTTACAATCCTGGAGTCTCCCTTTCTTCTGTATGTCTGTGAATGGAAAACCCCAGCTCACTTCTCATTCAGACTATTCATAATATTTGATGGCAACTACAGAAATTCAGATGGTTGGGATAGGTTCTGGCTACTGTAAATACACCATTCTTTGACAATGTCCAAGAGCTGCTGGTGAAATACAAGTTTTCAAATACAAATACATGTTTTATTCAGCAGAAAACATGCCCAGGGAAAGCAGCAATCGGAAATCTAAGAAAGGAATCTCTTTTTTGTAGTGTACGTTCCCAATGGCAGAGCTTCCTAATGGCAGAGAGTTGACAGCAAACCTCAGTTAAACCTTCTGTAATGTGAAGAAGAACAGAAATGGAGGCAATTGCAGGTGTTCAAACCTTTTTCAGATAGCAGAGTTGCACCAGTTGAAAGAATGACTGCTTGAAGTGAAAGACACTTTACCATTCAGGTTGTCTACTGTTGATCACTAAAATTCCCATCACCCTTTCTGGACTTTCATGTTGTAAACCTTCTGCTCAGAAGATACTGGTCTCTACTGAGGACAAATAGAAGCCCTCTAGCCATGGGATGAGCACAGACTGATTCTGGAATTTAATGCCTATTTAAAGTGCCAGAACCACCAAAATCCAGTCCTATTAGTAATTACCCATTGACAAGGCAGAACAGGGCTCTGCTGAACATGGGCCAGTCCCTAATTTATTTTCCCCTCTTTTTACAGCATGAACAGAACAAATGCTTGAACTTTGATCCCACTGTCTCCACAAGATCTAAAGGTAACCGACTAACAGAAGATAGAACCCAGATACTTCTACCAAGTGATAGCAGGCAGAATATTCTGGGATTGTTTTGTTATATGAATGGGCTCCAATGTCTCACAGTTTTGAACTTTAGCTTCACATGTATCTATTTTATATGTGTCGGTTAAGAATGGTCCACCCATGGGGAACTGATCTTCATGAGAACTGCAGATAGAAACCATCCATCTTCTTACCAATATGTCCAGTACAGGCTCATGGTAGAGCAAACGGACACAAGGAGGGGTGCATCTCAGAGGGGACACCAGTCCATTACAGGGCACACACAAGCAGAAACACACACAGGCTCACACAAAAGGTAATTTTCTCAGATGTCACTTAACCAACCAGTTTGTCTTGGACTGTGGCAGGAAACCAGAGTACCCAAAAGAAAACCACATGAATGCAGGAAGAACATACAAACTCCACACAGATACCACCCCACGTCTACAACTGAAACAGGTCCCAGGTGCTTCGAAAGAGTAATGCTGAACACTGCACAGCCTTAATGCACACGTTTATGTGAAATACATTTACAAATAACTGCATTTATGAGTTTGGGTTGTCAAATGTTGCCTCACATTTCTTTAGAATCATTCCATGTCTGCAGGCACAAAATTTTTTTTTGTAAACGGTCACAGGCTTACACATTTTACTGCACAGGGAATGAACACAAACATGAAAGGCAACTGTCTAAAGGAATTCCACAAAAAAGAATGATATTTGATTTACTGTATGTTGTTTTGATGATGAGTGGGTGTGGTTTAAATCATTAGCTATATATGTACTGGATTAAATATTAACATTTAAAGATCACAGCTGAAGAAGGCTCCACAGCCAAAATGTTGTGTTTCTTTTCTACTCTTTTCAGCATGGAATAAACCTTTACTTGTTCCTTTACAGCCTACTCATGCTGACGCAGCCACCTACTTGAACTATTTAAAGATCATAAAAGACATAAAGACACTATATAACAGGACGATCTAAACTTGCACCAGAATGAATCTTCAAAAACATCTACAAGGATAATAACAATACAAACCATCAGCACACTTGTGTTTTACAGATGACATTTCTGGAAAGATTTATACTTGTTTAATCAATGCATGATGGAAATTAGTTTTGATGGATATCTGCGCTTGCGATTTGAGCAGTAATAGTGCTCTAAATACATACGATCTACGGTACCAAGCTTCAGAAGTAGCTTATCACTTACAGTATAACTGTAACAAATTTACAAAGCAATAACGAGATAATCTTTTTTATAGCCAGTGCACTGGCATTTTATTAGACAGACGTGACAAAGGTAATTTCATTATGCTGATTAACGTTTGTTATCAACAGGGTTAATTAACAGGCGGGCTGCCGTGAAAGTCACAGGCTAGTAGTGTGTGTTCCCACAGGTGGACGTACAGTAATACAAGATGAATCCTGCTGTTAGTAGGATTCTGTTCCATTGTACTCACAGAGCCTGGATGTTGATCTCTGTTTCCTGAACTGTTGTTGCATTTGTTTCCTACAAGAAAACCCCAGTAGCAGTAGCACGCAGATGTATGTCCTCCCTCTTGAGCTTTGTTGTGTCAGGATGTGCCTGTGGGAGAGGTAGCAGATGAGGTCCCAGGACTTGATCTTTGGGGAGCTGTGAAGTCAGGTTGTCATCAATGACTCATTGCATTTCTAAACCAGCAGACCTGGTAGTTGGAAGAAGGATCATGAAGGCTGAGCATGATGTGTCAGTATTAGCAAGATATTGATAGTCTTTAAAGTCAGCAGTGTGTGTAGCAGTGTTTAGGGTTCTGCCCTTATAACTCAAAGAATGTGGTTTCAAATTGCAGGTGAGACAGTGATATTGCACCTTGAGCAAGATACTTCACCTGACTTGCTCTAGTGAAAGGCTCTGATGTATACATGTATGTTGCTTTAGATAAATTGATCAATTAAATAATTGTGTCTTTGATTGTAAGATTTTGCCAGGCTAGAAGTTGCGGGGTGCGAATATCCCAGACAGGTCCCAACATAACAATGACATGAAGGAATTATTCTCTGGATACGTGGGGCATACAAGTTCCTGTCTGTATCCGTCAATCTTAATTTTCACCAGGTTGATCATTCAACAGATCAAATCAGCTTGTTACATTGTCCCAGTTACATCTCTCGCTAATTTGGTGATTATCAGCTTATGCAGTCATGGTCACTCATGCTCAGTAATTGATAATTGGTTAATTAAAATGACACCAAAAAACGTTTAATCAGTATGCAAAACCCTTATACTTCTTTATATTTTAGATTGTGTTATTCTGTGTTATTCAGATTCTTTTACCTGTCAACAAAGCTGGGACAATAAAGGAGGAAAGTGATAATGGCATGTACCTCAGTTGTAATGTCATTTAAAAATGTGGACATAAACACACTACCTGTCCTCTACAACATATTGTACAGTATCTCTTTTTTGGTTTCTGTGTTCGTCTACGCTTTTGTGCTCTATTAGCCTAAACGTTGTGCAGCTTTGCCCACCGTTCCAGAAAAAATAAACAAACTTAAGACACTTATTTGACAAAGCATTCATTTTCTCTTGTTCACCTATATTGTTTACCTATATTATATTACTTTTTCTGTAAGTGAATGGATGGCAAATAGCCCCCTGTCGTACTTTCAAAGTCGACAAGTGTACCTCGGCTAGTACCACACAGCTGTCTTTTTCAGTTAGTACGTGTAACCGGACCTTGGCCATAATTCTCCGGCGCTGTAGCCTTGCTCTTGGGAAGGCGTCACAGAGGGGGGGCGCAACGCCTGTTTCGCGAGAGAAACGGATCTTGCTGAAGTGCGCACAGGCGCCTAGGCAGCAGTTGACCACTGTTGGCTTCTCCGAAGCACAAACCTCTCTGAGCACTGAACCGGGGAAGCAGAAGATGGCTCGTTTTCTTTGCCGATTTGCCGCTGTCCGCGTGAAAGAAATTGCGCATATGCCATTACCAGGCAAGACGAGGCTGTCTTTGGTTCGCCAAATGTTCACTAATTCTGGTAGGTATGGTTACCTTGAGCTTTATTTAACTCGTGTTTAAAAAATTACAACAGCGCTTTCGATTGATATATTATAGTGTTATGTTTTTTATCCAGATACACTACAAAAAATATGCAATTAGTTAAATTCTGTTTTTAAAAATCACCCTTTCACCAACATATCAAGAGACAATTCAGGTTTACACTGTGCTGTGTAAGGTTGTAACACAAAGATTGTTCCTGTAGGTACATATAGTAGTTAGCTTTCATTGCAGTGGAAATTTCCAGCCTAGAAATGCACATCTGTGTTTTTTCCGGGGTATTGATTTTTCTGAAGATAAAATACTTCATGCGTTTTGTTATTTTTACATGCTTGAGGGTAAATATATTAACGGCAGTCATGAACATACGCTACACATTTTGATAGCTTTTCTGAAACCATGGTTTTTAGCTCTAGTTTTATGTTATAATACCTTGACAGCTGTGCTTTAATTTAAAATTAAAATACTGGTATTTGGTTATTTGTGCGCATCTCAAAACTAAATGGAATATAATAAAAATACATATATTCTTATCTTCGTCGAAGTTAAAGCCTCTCTCCAGGCAGAAATTCCGTCCTTTCTATGTGAGCCGATTGGTATTGATCCAGCAGGGTCTCACGTTCAGCTCGGCGGTCGTGGAAATGTACAGTAAACAGTGATCAAAGTCCCTCCTACTTTCAGGGAGATCGCTCCTTCGCTCTGTGCCCCAGATTTTCAATGAACTCTGTTACAGCTCGTCTGAGTTGAAGAGCCGGAGAGCTGCACGTACTGTAGAGCGATCCTGCTGACAGTTCAGGGCGAACGCGTGAAACGGGACAACTGAACCGTGTTAATTGTGGCGCAAAATGTTGCTGTTAATCATTGTTCATCTTATCGATGTAATAATTATTTTATTGTATGTGATGCCCTCAGTTGTAAAGACGTTTATTTTAATTATAGAGATACAACATCCAATAACGTTCTTTCTGCATCCCAACAAATGTACTGAAGCACAACCGTAGATTGAATTGTTAAATGAGATAAAGTTGGGCTCTGTTTTTTTTTTTGCATGACCTAATCTCATCAGCGTTTGTTCTAGGAAAGTGGAAGTCACATGTAATTTGGTTTACACGGCTCACTTGAATCTTGTAACGTCTACATAAATGATCGATTAATATCTCGTGTGTTTTTCAGTAAGCAGGGCGCTCAGCCATGGAGCTGTGGGGCTTCGTTTTGTCTTAGGACAGAGCAGTTTTAAAGATGGTGTTGATAAAAGGCAGCACTTTAAGACGAAGAATTATGATAATATTTACGTTTAGACCTAATAGCACTGACAGCAAGTGTATAATGGATTCATATAGGAATGAAGATAAATTAAAACAAAGATTATAGGATGTAAGATTAAGGTAAAGCATAAGAGTTCAGCTGCTGGCATTTCTAATCACAGACAAGATGGGCTAGGCAGCCCATCAGGATGTTTGCTTCGGTTATAAGGGGACCTAGACAAACAAGGTACACCAAAGATATCAATAAAATAATAAAAAATTAATCATTCCATACACTTAATGAGGACTCACTCATGTCGCCCCACCTGTATGATGTGATGGCATCCAGAGTGCGCCAGTACACTCTCCACGCATCCGCCATCAGTGGGGAGGAGAATAGAGTGATGAAGCCAGTTTATAAATGAGCATTATTAGGAGGCCATGACTGGTAAAGGCCAGAGGGGAATTTGGCCAGGTTACCAGGGTTACACCCCTCTACTCTTTTTGAGAAACACTCTGGGATTTTTAATGACCACAAAGAGTCAGGACCTCAGTCTGAAGGATGGTGCTCTTTTTACAGTATAGTGTCCCTGTCACTATACTGGGGCATATACTACTAGCCCCACGTACACCTCTTCCAGCAGTACTCTGCATTTTTTTGTGTGTCTACATGTAGTTCTTACTCTAGTGTGGCACAGACTGGCAGACACATATTCACAGATCAGAGGGATGTTCCTCCTTTCAGACTGTAAGTCTAACAAGTCAGGAATGTTGTTTGCATTAGACAGACTACTATACAGTAGATTAAACTGCAGAGTGTGATAACAGACATACATAAACCTTGACATCTACTACCAGTGAAATACTGTTGCTTTTTCAGGTCACAATTCACAGTGCACTTTTGGTGCTACAAAGCATAGGAGCATCTTTTAACGTAGCTGTCTCTGTATCTACATTCCAGGCCTGAGGTCGCTCACACGGTATGATGAAACAGTCGTCACAACCGACTGGCAGAAGAAGTTAACCCCGGAGCAGTATGTGGTGACCAGGGAAAAGGGGACCGAGCTGGTGAGTGTGGTCAGCTGTCCGGCAGTAGTTCCTAGTCTGAAATATTCAGCCTTGCAGTCCTTGTAATTATACAAACTCTTCTGTGTGTTTTTCTGTGTCAAATCTTTCCAGCCCTTCAGCGGTATCTACCTGAACCACAGCGAGCCAGGAATGTACCATTGTGTGTGCTGCGACACACCTCTGTTCAGGTAGAGTTTAACCTTCACAGCTGAGCACACAGGAACACAGGGTGAATCCCAGCATGGAGACTTGTTACTGTATGTTCACTGCTTCATGTTCCGAACGCCTCAGTATGTTGTAACTTGGGCATTCTGAACATGTCATCCAGGATCTGTGTTTGACATGCAGGTGAAAAACATGTTCTGTATACAATATACTGTATAGTGTATGCTTAGTGAATACTCTGATTAGCGTTGAAAATTAAGATTTATGAGAAGGAATCCAATAATACAGAAAGTCAGTTTTACATAATGTTGTAGGATGTGCCGACTCTGCGGCAAGAGTATCACTTCTCTTTTAACCTTGTGTAGCAGCAAGACCGGGAGCTAAAAATTCTTTGGCATTCTCGGGAGTTTAGGAAGCAAGACTGTCTTGGTCACTTTGTCACCGATCAAGCTAAACAGAACTTGCGCAGTTGTCCAGTAGAGCCGGGCAGAAATTGCTTGGGTCACACTCTGCTCTCCAGGGGTCAGTATCTTTCCAGCTGCCTTTAGTCAGTCTCAGGTGTCAAGACCGTGAATAGGGAGCATTCCTGGAAACAGTCTGGTGGTTAAGTAATTAAACAAAAGTCGATGCACATGCATTAAGTGCCTATCATGCTTTGTGATATTCATTGGAAGTTATTGCATAATTTTCTAGGGCAGGCTATTAGCAGACAGTGCTATGTGAAGGCTGGGTCAATACAAAATACCCAGTTCCCAAAATGCATAATTTAAACACCTCTACAGCTCAGATTGTATCGTTGTTCTGCCTTAGGTGTGTTGACAAGATGGAAGCCATTCAGGAAAATCCAATAAAAAGCTGGTTTAAAACAATTTAAAGCAACAGAGTTGTCAGAAATATGGCTGATCTAAAAAGGGAAGGTGTAGAGCAGGTGTGTTAAGCAGGGAGCATCCTTGGACTTCGTCAGGTGCGTTACCTAATTAACAAAAGCTGATGCATCTGCGTTGTATGGTTAACAGGCCCAATGCTTTATGACATGCAGCAGAAGGTATCGCTTAATTTGATAGTTATGCGGTGGCAAGTTTTAGCTGGCAGCTTTCCCAGCCATTGCTGAGGCCAGTGTTGGGGTGCTGCTCTATTTCCTGTTTGCTCCTTAATTGTACGTCTCGCTCCCGTTTATCAGTTTAAGGCCAGCCAAGTAAATGTTTTCGGAAAAGAATGAATCTCACCGATGATGCAAGTTGGGCTTGAGGCAAACATAACAGAAAATGTAAAAAGTGTGTCTTCCATAACTTCCATAAGAAAGAATAGCAGCCCTGGAAAATTTGTACCTCAGGAGGTGCCTCTCCTGCCAGAAGAAAAGGATCTTTGTGTAGCTCTGCTGTTTCACAGGGAAAACAACCCCAGTGAACTCTAATTCCGGCTTGGTCTAATTCATCTCAGGCCACCTGAGGCCCTGCCTTGGCATGCTTGTTGTAACCATTCTGTGGTTTATTTTCATTTCTAAAAGCCCGGTTGTATCCGTGCAGATACAACATCAACAACAGCGTGTTATGTTGCCTCTCTTTTCCCATGCCTGTGTTTTATTAATAATAGTGTTACGTGTCTGCCTAAGAATACCTTTTTTCTTGTAATAAGGTCTTATTGTAGTTAATGATAGCAAATTGCTATGACAGGTTTTTCTGAAAGTCCCATTTGTGAAGGGCAGTGGTGTCTGTGGTATTTTCTCCCACTTTTTTAAGATAATCATTAGATTAATCAGAGCGGTCAAAAAAAAATTCAAAACTTTTGAGCTGTTGATTTAAAGACACCTGTATAACCAGGTACATTCTAGTCCTTGACTAGAATTGTGTATCTTTTGATTACAAAATGCAGTGTTTCCTTATAGTTTGCTTGTTCTCTACATGAAGAGATCCGTTTTACAATTTTACAGCTATGTAATTTAAACTCCAAACACTTAGCGGTAGATACAAAATAGACAGAACCTGCTGCAGGAAACGTATGTGGTGAGTTCTGGATAATGCTTAGCTCTTCCCCTGTATATCCAGAGTGAATCTTCTTCTGCCCGATTTCAAGTGCCGGTACTCTTCACTTGTTGTTGATTGATTGTTGTTTAAACAGTGGATTGCTGCTTCTTAAGGCTTTATTTCTCTTCCTACTTCTTGCTTCTGTCATTTACCTCTTTTTCCCTTTGTACAAATTGATGGATGCCAAGGGAAAAAAAAAACTGAAGAATTATTTTGACAGATAAGTAATTAGCGCAACACATCATTCATGATCAGACTTATCTAGGAAGTTATATTTCTTTTCCCCTTGGAAGGGCAACACCCTGACAGCTCTCATCTTATCTCTCTGAGCCCTCTTTGCTCAATTTCCCGCAGTCTGGCTTTAACCCAGCACATCCTACTGGAACTGCTCTTCTCCCGGTTAGCGATGCCCTTCAGTCAGCTTGTGCTGCTTCCATCTCGTCTCCCTTAATTCTCCTTCTTTCTGCTCTGTCGCCTGTGACACGGTGACTCACGCTATCCCTTTGACAACACCTGCTGACCCAGGAATCACCCCTTGCTGGTTGCTGGTGGCACTTAAGGGGTCTCCTGATGCAGCTCACTCTCATTCACTGGGGTTTTATCACTTTCCAACACAGTTATGCCGCCTGCTGACAGCTGTTTGTGAAGCGTTCGGAAAAAGGCAAGCAATTTCAGAGGCAATTTAAATGGTGGCGTGGCTCTTGTCCATTACAGTGTCTTGTTCAGAGGAGTTATTTAGATTGGACACAGGCATTAATGGATCTGTGACTGGACTGTAGAGGTGCTTGTTGTCGCAGTGATTCGTTTTGTGTGGGAGCCAGTAATTGTTAAAATAAATATGTTACTCACAAAGAATTGTTTTCTTCATTCCTACCCACAATTCCCGTCACACATTGATTTGTAAGGTTTAACGTTTTGAATTGATGTCTTTAATACTGTGGCCACAAAACCAGGATTTTAATCCACTAAAAACATTAAAGGAGCCTGCAGTGTAGGTGCAGATAAACCCACACAATTAATCTGCTCACATCAATTAGACGGTCAGTGTCTAGCTTTAAAATTTGTTATGGTTTGTTTTCAAAAATCACATTTCATCCTTTTATTTGTAGTACTAGCAGTGATATTAAGCCAGGTAAAATGGCATCTACTGTATCTTTGAGCTTCACACATAAAAAAAAAAGCTCTCAGTGATTTCCCTCCCATACCTTCTGTGAAACAGAAAATCCCCTCAGTGTGTCACATGAATCCCTTCTAGGTATGCGATATTAACCATTTAATATATTCTCTAGTCACATGATACCCTTGCCTCAGTGATAGGCATCTTGGTAAAGGAGTCATTGTTGTTGTTGTTTTACTGACCTCTGGTGGCGGCATCACATTCTGCAGGAACCTTTTCTCTTTCCTTCACGCTTCACACCCAAAATGTCACCAAACCTTTTTTACAGTACTTCAAAATTGTCTGGTGTCTACTTTGGTGTTTTGATAAAAAAAAATGATCAACCGCTGAAATAAGGCATTCTTTCTGGAAATACTTTAGCCTCTCAACATTGGTCCCAATTTCTAATTGTTTTCTAATGGTACCCCCAACATAATTATTTTGTTATTACTATTGATGACAGGAGTAGGAAATTCTGATCTCTTCACTTTTATTGTGTATTACTTCACCCACTTCAAAGTCTAAAAATTGTTTTTGTTTTTCTAAAAGAGAGCAAACCTTAAAATGAACTATAAAAAGAGCAGTTAACAAAGTGTACGGTAGTATACCGTAAACTGCAAATGTCGACAGCACCATTGCCCTTTGTTTAGGATAAAATAATAGTAATACCTCAATAAGCTGACTGTTATGATTTCACATTTTGAGAAATGGCAAGATACGGATTTGGTTGCACTAAAAAATAACGTCCTAGATGTTGACTCCCAGCTTTTGGTTTTTCTTATTTCTCCATTCCTCCTTCGCAGTTCAGAAGCGAAGTACGATTCGGGGACAGGATGGCCTTCCTTCTACGAGGCCCAGGGCACAAAGGGGAGAGACGAGAGCAACACCGGCATTCTGCGTCGCCCTGACAACTCGCTGGGGTGCACGGGGACCGAGGTCATTTGCAGGACGGTGAGTCTTCCCACTTCCCACGGGCTATGACCCTGGCAGGAATTCATCCTCCATAGGTTTTTGAGCAAGATAAGGGATTTGCTTTAAAAATCTTAGTGCAATACTATGCAAAAAAAAGGAAAGAAAATCCCCTTGGCACCGTTACTGCAGCTGCTTCCCTCTTGTGAGAAATATTGGACAAGAACATATTTGACAGCACGGAGGTTATGAGACACATTTATGGCAAGGTTTGTGGTACAGATGAATTCCATTATTTCTGGTATTATTTTATATAAGCTTCTATATAAAAATGTAAACGGGTATAAGGATATTAGATTTTTGAGATGACCACAGTTAATGTACATTTATGTACCTTGTAACCCTGAACCATCCATGTAAACTCCAAAAGGACTAAACTGCTTACTTAATTTAACTGAACTAAAAACAGAGTTAGAAGTGAATCGGTCAGGGCCAATGAATATCATTAGTATCACATATTCAATTTATAGCTCTTAAAAACCTTGCGACTCTGAACAGACTTTTTTGTAAGATATGGACTGCACACGTTTTTCTTCATGTGTGCATGTGCGTGCAAGTGAATCAAAAGATTTCATTTAACATTGTGGGTTAAACTGTCCGAACTGTACGTGTAATATTTATAAAAAACGTCTTAATTTTGCAAATACTTTTACAACCTGCTGTTTTAAGGATTAGCTGGAACGAACATTAATGACAGATTTTAAAGACAAATGTCAGACAGGCGCTAACAGAAATTCTGCTTATACAGTATGTTTTGACAGCTCAGCATATTAGCTCTGTTGACATTAAATAACCATTTCAAATGTGCCTAAACACGGGAATAACTGCTGTATCATGAACATTAGAATGTATGGATACGATAATCCTTTGTTATATTATCTTAATTTGTTCCTCGTGAAAACCGCTCATGAGTTTGGAACTTGTATAATGGAAATTAAATTCCCATTACTTCCCAAGTTAAAATCTTGGATCGCAGAAGTCCAAAACGTTCCCAGGGGAAACCCATGTGAACACAGGGAGAACATACAAACTCCACACAGATAGCACCCCAAAAAGTGGCACCCCCTTTGCCCTTATGCAGCAAAGCAGCAATCCTCAGTACTGCACCACCGAGGTGCCCTTAGGGACTAGAGCTGGGTGCCTATGCTATAAAGAGTGAAGCCTGGGCTCTACAGACTCCTTTCCTGTTGGCTTCCCAGACTGCACTACATGAAGTCATATTTAAGGATTTTCTGTTTCACTAGTTCATCACCAAGAGCATGATACCTTTTACAGGAATAGTCCCCACCAATGAAGCAAACACAGTTATGTCTGAGTTTTAAGAGGCTGGTAATGGTACTATGCAGTTATCAGCTGTTAGTGCACACTGCTCTTGAGTTTCTTCTGTTTAGACGCTGACTCTCCTTGAGCCTTGAATGAGTTCTGTTTTATTTCCGCTGTCACCCACTAGTGTGACGCTCACCTCGGCCACGTGTTTGAAGATGGACCGGAACCATCCGGGCAGAGGTTCTGTATCAACAGCGCGGCCCTGACCTTCAAAGCCAGCTCCAAGTAGTGCTGTTCTGACACATATCTCCGAAAGGAAAACCAATACCAGCAGTTTGGTGCCAAATGGTGTGAGGAGCATGATGTATTATTCTTCAGGTGCCGTGACAGACCTACCAATAATCAAACGTGTTCGACGTTAGATGACCAGGTTCACATTTTTTTTTTACTGGGGTAGTTTCTGAAATTGTTTACATTATGGTCCAGTATGATCTGGTGCTTATCCAAATTGTGAAGCCATGTCTTTTATAGTATACTCCAAAAGTCAGAAAGAAAAAGGAATTGTTACAATTTCAAATGTAGCCGTTTGAACACAAAAGGTGAGGAATTATCAAAAGGGGCATTCATTATTGGTTCTCCTCCCAAATACTTTGGAATTAAGCTTTCCTAAAACTTTTTAAATGTTTTTTTTTTTGCTATATAAAGATTACTAAGAGGCCTGCCTATGTTTAGACAACCTTTTGTGTGTGCTGACACAAAATTATGAAAAATGGACACCTTTTCTGAGAAATAAATCCAAAACTGAGCAATTAAGATGAAGTCATAGACTGGGGGTAACTATCCATGGTCCTTGAGAGTCGCAATCAGTGTGCAAGCGCGAGTGTTTATCGTGCGTTTTGTGACAGGACAGGCCAGCTGGGGGACTTCAAGTTGTAAACACGGTAAACGCAAAATTATTATTTTTTCTCTCTTTGACCTCTCTCTCATACAAATAAACGAAAGCACACCTTTTCATTTTTAAATAATCCCAGAATGACCTACAGTACACAAACAAACCAGCAGCTTCAGTGGTCATGACAAAATTCTTCCTCGAGTCCTGATAAGTCTCAACAAGTTGACGATTCAGGGAGACATGTGGCTCTGCGGGGCCAGGGCTAGCCCTCCCTGCAGTTCACAGACGGTGTGATTCAGCCATGTGATGGAGGCCAACATGGATCTGGTAAAGGCTTATGAGAAAAGAGGCAAAAACACTGGGTTCCTTTTCTTTTCCTTTCAGCATGGAATACACCTTTACCTGTTCCTTTGCAGCCTACGCATGCTGACGCAGCCTCCAAGTTAAACTTCATTACGTTTTAGGTTATATTCTAAGTAGATATGGAATGGCCAGACTTGCAGTCCGTCTGTTTACTGTTGTGTGAGCAGCATGAGTCAGTTTGGTACTTTTTCTCTTCCCTCTCTGTCACACTTTAAGTGGGAGTAATTTATGGAAATATGCCTGTATAAAATAATCATCTACAATGTGGATAACTAAAGGTCTATACTGGATTATGTAAACAAATTAGAAAGAAACATTATTTCAATTTTTGTGAACCTGGCCCTTTGGACCCTTTTGAAGACTGTGATTGTTTCTAAAGCTGCTGTTCAATACTGGTCCTCTTCATGATAAGGGTGGAGGCAGTTTTGTGGTTTAGTTGCTTGGACCCGGACTGATTGCGCTAAGTTTTCAAAGGTGACTGTGAGATTTAGATTAGCTGCAATTCCAATGTTTTGACATTTGAACAAGAATCGAGTTTAAAGGTGAAATTTCTAACACATGCAAAATGTGCATTAAACACACCTAAGGGAAGAATACACATAATTAATTTTTGTACAGTGTAATATTAGTTTACAATAAATTATCACCTGTCCCCTTGTAAACAAACAGTTAAGATATCAAATGACACCAGCTTCCACATTATTCAGAGGTATGATGATGTACTGTATGCATTGTGTATATTGTTGAAAGTTTACTTATAATTCAGAAATACTTCTCCAAGAATATTAGACTTAGAACAGAGTAGTAAAAATAAACTCCTCATTGGCCTAACAGTGATAGCCTTGATTTCTGAAAATAGATAAATGCAGATTTTACAGATTATTTTCAGACTGAAGTCTTTAACTCTGAAAACACAATTTAATGAGACAGAGTCACAGCAGCAGATATGAAGGTGGGAGATTAGCAGTTAGGTCTCCCCACCTTGTAGGTAGGAAAACCTTTTTAGCTGTAAAGGCAAAAGTGTTCCCTTCTCTGTTCTTGTTTTTTTATCCAGAAATTTATATATTTTTTTGCAATCGAGGGAATACCTGAAATACCCCAAAACAGGCTTTTGCCTTTTGTAATTTCAAAAAGGGGCAGACTACAGCTTTTGCAACCAGAAAACAGCGGGCTGCAGCTCATGTTTACTTCTAGTGGAAAAAAACCTGGATAAAAAACAAAACTCTAAAAAGAACAGAGAGGCGAACACAAGCGGTAGTTCTCTTTTTTTCCATTCATGTCTCTGTTAAGGATGCTGTCAATGGATCAGACTGGGTCACAAAAAGTTTGCTGTAGCAGTTTTGGCTGGTCTCTGATTGTGAGCTTTCTAAATCCAACTGTTACTCAATGGGGAGTTTTAGATGTTGTTGTGCTTAAATACAACACTTTCTCTTTTAAAGACGGCAATTTACAGTAGCCAGTATTAAAGTCTTAAAGTTAAAAAGCCTAACAAGGAGTATTTCTTTTAATGTCTGACAACAAAAGTCACCTTTGACATTTTTATCGCTTAAGATATGAATGAAAGGATTGAAAGAACAATAATCAAAGTTTTGTGTAATTTATAATTGTGAAGAATAATGTCTGTTAATCTGTTAAAAACATTTATCAAACTGTTTTATCTTTGAATCAGAAGTCTCAGTGTTACATGATTGTTTTTATCCACCAGTAAAGAATTTGTTTTTACCATTTGTTTTCTCAGATTTTCCAGAGCTCTGTCACAAACTACTGACCACAGCATAGATAAAGATTAAATTAAACTGCATAATACTCCAGCCAAGATATACTGTAGCACAGACCTAATGATAAATGATGTCCAAGATACTAGTCTGCAATTTGACAAAAGGAAAGAAATGTTGCTCTTCTACTGGCCTAAGTTCAAAAGCAGTCATAATGATGATCCTAATCAAAGAACAGAACTCTCTGCGATTAAGTCTTTTTTGTTATTCATTTCATATTTGGGCGTGATTGCCTGACTTTCCTTGCTGTCACTGTCTTTGGGTGTTACAGATAAGAAGAGCCAGCTCGTTTTGTAGCGAGAGTGAACTCTTGTCTAGAGCTCTGGACAAATCTTAACCAACTAATTATGCCCTAGTTGGGCATCAACACTGCCCACAGTCCAGTGCTGTGGATACTCATAAAATCTACTGTATTCATCTACTGTATATCAGGAGACTTCTGGTCTTCTAACCAATTTACTTTATAAATAACTGTATATATTTTTAGAGACAAATTTACACTGGCTGATACATTATGTAATAACGATTACTGCATGTTTTCCTATTTATTTCTTATTCAAACAATAGATGTATTGATGCATGCTGTAATACTGAACTGTAATCTTAAGGTTTTGTTAGGCAAGTTCAGTAAATCCGAAACAATGTCTAAGGTGTTTCTACAAATTCTGCAGCACATTTGCAAATAAGTGTACCTCAATGATCCTTTTCATTAAGAGGTTGTTATTTTTGGCTTTATTTCCATAATGGAAGACCTTTCCCTGGCTGATTGAAGACCTGCCTGCTGGTATAGTTAATGTGCAAGGGCAAAGTAGGTTTCCCAGGCAGGGATGTCCACTTTAACAATTAAACCATTTTAACATGCATGTGAGGCTCTCTTGAAGGCAGCTGTTGGTTACCAAGCAACAGACTGGCATCGCCTTACTTTTGCTTTGTCGTAGTTGGCTTCATACATGCTATTTCTGGAGATACTTTTACTTTTTCTCTCAGTCCTGAGCTTTAATTTCTTGTTAAAACAACCTCTACACGTGGTGAGGAGAGGAGTCGTAGGGTAATCTGAAAAGAAACAGCAGTGAGCTTTGGCGGCAAGTGTGTTCAATGCTGTATCGGTGCCGAAAGCGAACACAGTATAAATTAACCTGCCCTTCTGGCTACCGTAGCACAAATGCATCCTGATTAAAAACCCAAGCACACAGCTGTGAGCTCCACTGGAAGCAGTCCTGTGTGCCGGTTCTGTCATGACAGTTTTATATTGGGTGAAGGCCAGCCACAGGAAAGAACTTGAGCAGTTTTAATTGTAAAATACACGAAAGATGACAGATTTTTTGGGGGGAAAAGGGGATGATTTTGCTTATCCTTCCAAGCAAGGGGCTGGATAAAGGGCAGAGAAGCCAAGGACAAGCCAGAAGACAGTCAGCTCTCAGAGCCCACTCTGACCTTCCACAGCCTGTTTTTCCAGAAAGCCTGAAATCATTCCCTAAGCAGGTCCTCTCTTCAGGGCGACAGAGAAGAAAGATCGGCAGAGGCTGTCAGTCTGTGACCATAATAAAGCTCCAGATGTCCCTTTAAAAGGTTTTTGAATTGTGTACTTCACTACTAAAGTAGGAAGAACGCCCAGCATAATCTCATATACTGCAGTCCTCTACATATGCAAAATGCAATTCTCTGAATAAGGAGTACACTGATTTTCTTTCATTGGAGAGGTTGTGTGATATTTCACCTTAGACATACTGTACCGGTGCATCCTTTGTAATACAGGATAGTTTGTTTTAGATGCAATACAGGTTATTTACAGGCATTACTGTGAGTTAGAAAATGTACCTGCTGCAATTGCACAGCTACAGTATGTGATACAAAATGAGTCTCTTCTATTACTTACTTCAACGATGCTTTTGTATTGATCTGAATGGATGAAAACAAATTAAAATTTCATCAGATGTTTTTAAACCCCTCTTAGTGTTGTGGCTTAGCATTATGATCTCATTAGAAAGACTGCAAAGTTTGATGCATTTAAGAACTTTAAACCCCATTACTTGTCCTCATCAAATGGCAAAAACATGAAGGTATTCTGAATATAATTTGCAAACATAAATAGGGAAATTATTTTATTTTAAAAATTAAGTGTCCTTTTATTTTTAGATACTAATTCAGCACGTGTCTCACTTAAACATACTGTAAAAATATCAAGCAGGTGATCTTAAACTTAATAAACAGTAATAACAATGATATTAAAGGGTGTTTGGGGATACCACCTCAATCTAATAATTGCTGAATTAGATTGACCTTTTGTTTTTTTTTAGCTCATAAACCTTCCTAGGTTCCTAGGTACCTGAAAATGATTTTACTGCTGAAATCACCTAAAAAGTTTCAATTCAAATTTAAGTTCTGCTAAACAAGAGTGCCAGAGAACATAAGGTTAAAAAATTCTCATCATTTAGACTTTTGGTTCAAACACATGGCAGTTAAGAGATTCAGAGTTTTCCTGTATTATCTCTGCTCACAGGTATATGAGTAATGGCACTAGTAGCCAAGGCCCTAAAGAGAATATATGCTGTACATTGGTCACATTAAAGCTGAATTACACACATACTGTATTTAGGCTTTTCCCTTTGGTTGTGAGATGCTGACAGTTTAAAGGCACGAACAAAGCGTGCTTGTTTTCAGCTCTCAGAAATGATGGCTGACCACCCCAGCTCTGTCCTCCTCATCTGAAGTCAGCTGTGTGGGTTGAAGAGCATGTTGTTTCCATTTTCATCTGGACTCTTCTACCACCATACAACCACAAATGCAGCAGTCCTGCTCTTTTTCGATTTTTCTGTTTCTCACCCAGAAATCTTCCCTGACACTTGACACTAATTATAAGGTTCCCTAGAGACTATAGATTTATCCTACACTGGATGACGGTTCTTTCTTGTGGGTAAGTTTTAAAAAAGAAAGTTATTCCCAACATGGTTTCCTGAAGTGTTTATTCTGTGAAAACATAATGGGTTTTCAACACCCACTAGACCTTCAGAACAATTCTGTGTCTGAAGAAACACCCTGAACTTTGCTTTACTATGTCTTTTTTGCTTAGCTTTGCATTACTATGTCTAATACTAGGTGACTTTAACCAATTAATTTTTTCTCTTGTTACAAACTTATAATTCTGAGTTTGTGCCTTTGGTCACAGTCACTCTTTTTTTTCCCCACTGGAATTATTTTTCCCAATAGAAAGAAAACAGGATGTTACAGTATCACTCTGAGAAGTCATGGAATGTAAAAAGAAATAAACTGATATTCAAACAGAACGAGTGTGGGACATTTTTCATTCATCACCTTATGTATTCGATATTAGTGTTAAAAGAAAGAGGCACTCTAAAAGTCTAATGTGAAGATAAAAGACTATTGCAAATGTGAGGATAAACACAAAGGATATTTTAATTTACAACTTACTGTGTACTTCTTCCATCAATATAATATTTCAAGGGAAATGTTGGCTACAATTCTTCACATTTTATATTAGCTTTCAATCCCACTGTCTGAAAACAATATCTTGACTTGGTTAATTACATCAGTAAATGGGAATTTAGAAGCTGATGAAACTGTTTTCCAATTATATCACTTTGTGAGTCATTTAGAAGCAAGGTAATTAATAATCCTTGTGAATCAGTAACTGTTAAAGGTTCTTTGGCGGCTTCTAGTGGTAAGTCAGTTGCTACTGCAGTCCCTCCATAGATCAGGCCACCACAGTTTCTGCCCAATGGGGAGACGCATGACCCTGCTACAAGGCAAGAGACAGGCAGCTGGGAGACAGTTGTTCAATCTCAGGTGCTCAAGTTAGTGTGGGGGTACAAATACTTTCCCAAAAGGACCAGACAGTTGTCAAAATTCCTTCTTGGAGACCGAGGGCAGGGCACAGTCTTGAACACATTCAAATTCCACCACCTAAATCCCCTCTATGGGATATTTAATGACCAAGTAGTCAGGTCATGAAAGTCTACAGAGGAGTCACCCCTCTCAGGAATTAAACCCAGGACCAAGCATTATGAGGCATCAGCGCTATCAGAGATGGAATCACATCTCCTCAGTCTCGTCCAGGCTGTATTAATTTATTGTGCTAGTGTTAGAAATAACAAGTTTAAATAAGGCCAAACAAAAAATAGAACAAAGATTAGCTATATTTTGTTCTCTATTTCATTTCATATTTGTACATTTCATCAGCATACCTGAACATCTGACAAATACTTTGTGTGAATTCTCATCTATTTCAGTGGCCTGCTACCCTGTTTATGGAAAGCCCCATTTTTTTAAAGATTTATAAATGTCTGCTAAATGTCACATCTTCACTAATAAAGTTAATAAACCTATTGCTCTCCAAGACCACAGCCAGAGTACCATAACTACAAGCCCTGTCTCCCATTTCAACTTTATATACATGTTTAATTGAGGATATGGTTTTATGTACTAGGTTCACCTTGAGTTCTGAAAGTATTCACCATTATTTTAGTAATCAAATGAAGGGATCCCATTGAACACTTTGAAGTGTGACATGTAAATATCTCACATCTCCAGCACTGCAATGTTACCACTTAACCACATTCTGGAAGGTGTTTCTGTGGTCTTAACTTAGCCTTCGTCAATATTCGTACCTTCTCTTGTAAACGCCCTGACATTCCCACGCGTACTAGATTCCACACACGGTCATCCAGGAACTAATTATCCAACCACGTCTCTCTTGCTTCAATATGTAAACACTCTTCACCGGCTTACCTACGCTCACTATTGAGAAGTCTTCCACAGCTTCCTCTTGTGCGCGCTACTATTTTTGACCTGACTCCTTTCACTACCCGACCTGGTTCTCCGACTTTTGACTTCACTCTTGCCTAACGACTTGGATTTGGAATATTGGATTTACTTTTGCTCGAACTCCCTTCCTCACGGCTTTGCACAGGAGTCCAACAGCTCACCACTTTCAGAAACCTTGACAGTCTTCAACAAAAGTTCTGCTAAGATGGAGTAAAGCTGACTTACTTTAGCAGCCCCAGCAACTTAACGCTACATAACAAAAGACAGGACCAACACCCACAAACATACAATAAACAGGAAACAGCAAATCAATGTCTGCTGCATATCAAAGGACAGAACCTGGAGCAGGACAGAGCAGGACAAGAAGTAATTACATACCAAAGAGCAGGACAAGCACTCAGATTGTGAGAAAAATGTATTTCTGACTCTATAGAAGCACTGGGAACCCCTTGAATTGTGTCTGTTCTGCGGGGCAGACCCAGTGCGCGTTGCTGTCCTTATTGAGCTCAATAAAACTGAACCTGCACAAGACTGTGTCCTGCTCCTCTGATGAAGAATTTCCCACAACACACTTCACATTAAATCTTTACGGAAACAATCAGTAAATGTTTGGAGATAACTTCTGAAGTGCTTATTTAAGAGTCCCTGTCTTTAAAGATCCACTTTGTTTGGAAAATAAGATAGTCTTGTCAACACAACTTTGTGTTTTGCCGATCAAGCATTTTACTAATGTAGAGGGTACAGGGTAGTCACACCAAAGGCTGATGGGAGTCTGCGGAGACTAGGCGTGTTTCTTCTGAATCCATAGAGGCCATTGTAACCGAACACAGGCCTGACAGCAGTCAGAAACTTGCCATGTCCTCCCACCTGTTCTGAAGAATAACCTGAAAGAAGATCACAGGATTTATTTTAAAATCAAGCATCATTCCTGTAGGTCTGTAATCTCCAACAGCTGCTCTTAAAAGCCTATGTTTCATGTTTCATGGATGTCCTAAGTTAGTGGCTAAGGATAACATTACCCTCGGCACAGCCTAATAATTGGTGACATTAATGTACCGAGAGCTTTGTTTACATGAAAAGTGGAAATTCCTCTAATTTCTGGAACTGTTTCTGGAAGGATCTTGTTCTTGGGGTCATAAGCAGCAGTTAGCCACACACTTTAAATATTGAAGAAGTTTCAACATTTTATCACCCCATTCGAACAATAATAGTAGGTCATACAAATATTCCAAATTCCAGCCTTCTTAATGATTTTAAGATTGCAGTACAGTAGTAGTGAAATTCAAGTTAAGATTCAACCAGATTAAAAATCTGTTTTCATTATTTGCAATTAGACAAAACGGGACATCCCTGGAAAATTGGTGAATACTTTTGCAAGACACCGTGTATATTATATCAGAAAAACAATAATTGAAGGTGCCAAGTAAGCGTTTCAAGGCATTTCATCACCCATTGTGAATTGACTTTCTGCTTTGCTCAAATGTGTTGCTAGGAGCCACAAAGCCATGAAACAAACACAAAAGTACTGTATTTGACATTCTGCGCATACATAAATTACCAATATACTCACAAATACTAAAGTTCAAAGGTTAAAATTGTTACTTTCCTCAATATTCTAAAGAGGACATACATCTAGTAAGGAGATAGTAAAAAACATACAAGATAGTTCAAAATTTACTTTCTAAGCAAACATTATGTGGGATCCTAAAGTAAATTGGAATTATAGGAATGTAAATTAATTTCCAATGCAGCAGGATACATTTGATTACTGCAGTATCCTATAGCTATGCAATATTTCAGGGTATACGGTACAGTATCTACTGTAAACGTCGGGGTATGATGTATTGCAGAATTCAACACAATGCACTCCATGTCTTCTGAGCCAATTGGATATTTTCAAAAGGATGGTGCTAACTCAAGAAATTGTATATTTATGGTACCTGAAACATGGGGTCACAGTTTACTGAAATTGAGTAGTTTTAGCCTAAATCCATTGTATCGACGGTATTTAGAATGAAACAAAATCGCGGAACTGATCACAATTAGGATTCGAAATACAATCAAATCTGATGGTCGAGCTCGTTGACACTGTTGCAGCTTTTCCTTAAAATAATTCTAGCCCGATGCGCATCATTGCAAACCAGCAGCACAAAATGTTACAATGAAGCCACACTCAATGCAACCAAATTCACATTTGTAAAAAGTATTTTGATCGCTAAAAGCGCGTATTACTTTAAAACCGCGCAACTAAAAATGCAGAGGAATATACATTTCCACTGTGACGCTTTAAAATTCTCAGGTTTGTTTAAAGCAAGTCCCTGGATTTGCTCAGTACACTGTACAGCCCTGTTACCTGCTCCGGCGGAGCTGTTTCTTCTCGACAGGTAAAGAGCCGCAGCGCTTTCTTTGGCAAAGCGATCAGCTAGAGGCCCGAGGACTGAAGTTCCGCCTCTTGCCTAAAACAGATCCAGAGACGAGATGTTTGGATTCCGCTTGTCTCTGAGGTTTGGATATGACATAATATAATATATAATAATCAATTTTACTTTTATCCCGGCACTATACCTATTTCTAGGCCTCCCTGATGTTCCAATATAATAATAAAAATATGTACAATGTGTTTCCCATTAATTTGCACACTCTTCAAATAATAATCATAAAACATATAAAGGTTCTTTCACTGAAACTGAGTATACAATGTAAATATTATACAAAAAACATTTACTAACATGTACCCATAACAATACGTCTGTTATTGTTATAACATTCCAAACAGAGCTAGGATAGACAACTCTGTACGTTAACATTATTTGTATGTGCATTACATTACATTTGCAGTACATTACAAAAGTGCATAAACATTATTTATAATGTGTCTCACGTAATGCAATTCCAAAAGGAAATACTACACATCCTTACCTGGCCGGTTTGTTGGAGCAAAGGCGGAACGGGTTTTGTTCTGAAGTAGCCTTTCGCGTTTTTGTCGTCTTGGGCATTGTAAGGCGGAATAACCGAGCCCAGTCTGGGTAGAGATCTGTTGTAGTCCCGGGCAATGCTTTCAACAGCAACGCAGTCCAAAATGAAAAATTTCTCTCTGCCCCTAAATTCAGAGTCATTGCTTGTTGGCGCTAAATGACGAGAGTTTCTGCGTTTTAATAACATTTCGTGGATTCTTTATGCAACTAAAAGTTCCGTGAAATGTTCCTGCGTGTGATTTTACAAAAACGTGTTGAAAGGATTTCCTTCTCTGCACTTGATGTCCTCTAGTCACAACAAAACTAGACATTTGCTACTAAGGAAACAGAGACAAACAAGCTTTTAAAACGTCGAAATAGTGGGAGCGAAGACACCAGCTTTATGAGTTTAAATTCCCTGTCTTGTAAATGCTTAAAGTACGTGCGTATTTTTGCAATCAATATTATCATTTTTAAATCTGATTTAAAATAGTGATGTCACGCCTTAGATTTATATTTTTAATCTTTCTATTACAATATCTCTAATAAATATAGACTACCTACTCTGCTGTACCTTACGAAACTGTTGTCATAAAAGCGATCAATGAACCATACACATACAGTAGTAGTTACATTGCACGTCTCTTGAAGTTTTGTGAATACAGTGTCTTGCAAAAGTATTCACCCCCATCCTGTGATATTCTTTTTTGTTGCATTACAAATGATGTATGCACATTTTTTAAAGTGAATATTTTAATCAAAACTAAAATTCTCAAACTTTTATGTGTGAAAGAAGCCAAACGTCAGAAAAAAATTCTAAAACCAAAATGTATTGATTGCACAAGTATTCATCCCCTTTAGTATGGCAACTTAACCTACTGCAAGTGCATAAAGTTACTCTAATACGTCTCCTTATTAATTGAAACGTTTGTTTGTCCAATTATAACGATTTGAATGATTTCAGAAAAAAATACACTTGTCTCCTTAAACTCTCCAGTCTGGAAGTGACTTTCAAGCAATAACTCAACCATGAAGACTGTTAATGGGTGATAGAAGGTGTTTGAATTGAGGTAGTTGAATTGTCTTTTTAAATGTATTCTCCAGAAGCAAGCTCCAACTTAGACAAGGATACCAAACTGTGCATGCCTCATGTGAAATTGGAATTACTTTAAATGTTTTTTTTTATGCTGGATCAAATCTGCTTTTGTAGGTGGTAAGACACCTAAGAGTTTGTACTCATCAATAAACAATTACAATTCCGGGGTTGAATATAATTTCTGTTCTGCTGAAAGTCTTATTTATGTGGTTCATCAACTGCTTCACTTTTCCCTTATGTCCAGTTTAGCTTAGTCTGCTATTCACTTACATATGGTGATTCCCAGATTTGTTTGACTCACAATTTACCTTTAGGTTCAAACTGGGGGAGCAGAGATCTCGTCCTCAAGGCTTCTGCCAGCTGTTTTCCTGAGTCTCTTTAAATCTCCAGCTTCCTAAAAGCAAGAAAAGCGTCTGACTTGTTCAATTCAGTAAACCATGAGGTCAATTAGGTAATGAAGGACTCAGGAGGAAAGAAACTGCCTCTTCGAGACTGGTGTTGTTTATCTTGTGTAGAGTATTTAGAGCATGATGCACAGTCAGGGGTATAGATTGTAACTGGCCAACCATCAGTACTAAGTCCCAAGTCTCCCAAGATGGCAAGACTTCTCCGGATCCACATACAACCTTTTGCTTGATTTGCTCGTTAATACCTAAGCTGTGTGTGGACAGCTTGAGCACCCACAAGACAAAAACCTAATGACAACTTCCAGGCACGTCTTCTAATAAGCATTTTTCCACAAAGCACACATTTCTATACATTTTAGAATTGATGTCAAACATGTTTTCCCCATGCAAAACCTGTTACAAAACACTAACCTTTCAATAGCCACGTAAAATGCTGCTTTGAATACTTGACCATTGGGTGTCATCCAAATAAAGACAATGATGTCTCCTACTTGAATAGCTTTTGGTTTATGACCTTATGAAAAAAAAGACAACACATCAAGGAATTCACACTGCTAATAGCGGTTTGATAGACTACTGACTGGCTCTGATCTTGACTACCCATCTGAACTAATTAATACTAGGGATAGGTCTAATCAGAATCTGTGAAATCAGTCTCTTCTTTTATCTAAACATAATATATTGTAATGTGACCAGCATTGTACCCTAATGGGATCATGTTTTTTTTAAATGTAACCTGTTTGAAATAATTACTCTGAGTTTTACTTTCAATAAGGTCAATGCTTTACATTAATTTTGAAATAATCAATTAAGATTTTCAATTCAAAGACGCTTTGCACATGTAGCAGTCAAGAGAGTTTCACGGGATCTATCAGCCCCCCATATCAGCAACTTGTGATCACATTAACAAGTCCATACATGTTCTTCTGTGTTCCTGGCCACAGGATGACTTTCTTCAGTGAACAGGGATGTTTCCACAAAAGAGCAGAGCTAGTTTATGTTCTGACATGTTGTGAAACCAGTGTGGTTTCCGGCTTTAATTGGGCTTTATATACAGTTACTCCATTCCCAGATTGTCCCAAAACTAGGAGCTGCCTCCTGTAAAAAAAAAAAAACAATGGAGAAAAATTCTATGGCATCAAAAGGTAGGTTTTTCTCATGAGTCCTACAGTATGTGAACACAAAACACCTTAAACTGACTAAAAGTTTTGAGATCGTATTTCTTTAAAAACAAATTAGGATTTTCAAAAAAAATAATGTGTAACTTTATTCAATCTTCTGTTGGCTAGTTTTGTCATTTTGTTGGACAACCTAAGACTGGGTATTTAATTATCAGTATGATGCAAACTCCATTATTATTATTAGCCCCATAAACATTAATGTAAGTCTAACATCCTCCAGAACAGGGTTTATGTTTAAACAGAATACATTAGCCTTTGAGCCATCATTAAATATATTGTAATGCTAACAGGTTTCACACGCATTTGTAAACTGTTTAATAATCTAATAATTTCAAATTCATTTTTTTTTTCCGAGAAAACTGCTTTCTTTTCCTGCAAATTACCACAAGAGCCTCTTTGGGATTGCTGTATGACTCGGATCTATTGTTTCTATTTGCCAGTGATCTGTTTTCTGAAGCTGCACTTCTGTTTTTCACATGCCCAGACAACAGTTTTACAAAGAGCTGCAGAGGCAGCACACTAAACCTAGCTGGATAGAATTAAATTTGCAAGGGCAGCACAGCTGTGAAATTTACATACCTACATCAGTTCATTTGTTTCAGCTCTATTACATTTTTCTGAAATCAGCAGAGAATTATTTTTTTCCATTATATGAATGCATTATTTCTAGGAACAAGCACCAAGTGTCTGGCTCTTGTTACTATAAAATGAATTGTACAGAAACTGCTAAATACTTTCAGCAGGTGTGTTCCCTAAAACTCCAGTGTCAGGTCTCTGAAGAAAATAGCATCACGCAGTACGCTGACGGCATTTTGAAATAACATGCCTGTAAAATTTGTGAAGTGAAAGCGCACTGTCTTGTTTTTTTTTTAAAAAAAAAAAACCTGTTTCTATACTCAGTGGTGTTTCTTGCTGGGCTCACAGTGGTAATTTGTGTCATTCATCTTACTTTGGGGTTTTCGGATTCTTTCAGAACAGGACAGTCTGCTGGAATGCGGTCTGGAACTGCAAAGAATTGGGGACATTTGCAACTTTGTGCATCAGCTTTCAAACGTCTTTTGCCAGAGAGAATGTGGGAGGCAGAGAAACAGAAAGCAAACTGCTGTTGTTTGTCCAGCCAAGCCGGTTCTCGATAAAGAATCATCATCGGTAGACTTTGAAGAAGTTAACTTCCTGCCCGTCGAAGACCAGACATCCCAACAGGAGAGGCCAAGAACAGCTATTCAGAGGCAGTAGTTGCAGAAAGTACAACGTCTGTTTGACCATCCCCGAAGCCTGGGACACTTGATCAGAATTGAAAACCTTGAGGAACACGTAATAATGGACTTTCCTTCTGTATTCATCAATCAATAAACAAATGAATCTGCACTACAATTATTTTCCAGAGGACATATTTATTTTTTCCAAGAAGACATTGAAGCACCTTCTGTTGATGTGAAACATAGTGTTGAGTTAGAATGATGCTGCATTGCATTAATTCAATGTTGTAGACTTTATGCTTTTGCTTCTTACTATATGAATTTCTAATACTTAATGTACATTTCTATGTAATGAGTTATGTACATACTACTGTATGTATAGGCATTAAATCCAAAGGATTGTTTTTTTTTGTCTATGTTTTCTAAGAATCAATTTATAAAGGCTTCTGTTTCAGAAAAATAGGATTTGTGTGCTATTTAAAATAATGCTGTTTGGGTAAGTTAAATTTAAGAATATTGTGTCGATGACAATAACCAGGACAAAAATGAAGACCACAGATTGCTGAGTCATCCTTGATCCAATGGGTCCTGCAGTTTTTGCTATACAGTACCTGATTTCTCACTTATTACACATTAATTATTACACATTACACTTATTTCACTTAAATTTTGCTTTGAGGCTTTATGCTGGTGGTGATCTGAATATCATCTTTAAATGTCTGATAAATTTAATCCTTTTCCATGCACATTATCGCATAACAATACGGAAAATGACAATGCTCAGGAACAATTTCTGAATGAAAAAAACAACAATGCGAAAACAAAATTGAACGTTACATCTCAAAGTAATAAGAAAGGGCTAGCATAAAAATGCGTTTTTTGACAGTGTGATAAGGGACACGTGTATTACCCACCTGAGGAATATTACAGTGCGTGGAATTTGTCTGTAAGACATTGATTTACAAAATGGTGTTACTCGGGCGGGGTCATATAACAAGCCCTGATGTAGTTAATCATTGAAACGTGGTTCTCTGGATGAAGTTCAAAACTGAGGTGTTATTTATGCCTCTTCAAGTCAATTGCATAAAGATTAATAGACTGACAGACACTAGTTTAATACACATCAGCGTTTTTAAACTAGGAGTCCCCACAGATTCTCACCCTGGAGAGTTTTCTTGAAAATGGGAAAAGGTGGGGAATCCTTGATATAACTGGAAATCCAAGAGAAAACTGTCTAAAACACCAGATTTAATACTAAATATTTTACGACTGTAGGCTTCACGTTCGTAGTCTACCTATCATTTAGCTGATGTTGCAGTCTTTACTAAAGATACGAATAACAATGTGATAATGGTATCTCAAGCATACAGTATAATTTGTGTATACAGTATTTATGATAAGTCAGTGGATCTTATTCAGTACAATAATGGTGCGTGTTTCAAAAGCATTTTCCAAAAATGCAAAGCATGGTTTCTAACAATGCCTTTAAATGAACAATCTCAGTAATTAACCCACAAAATAAATTATTAATTCCCAATAGATTTCAAAGCTTTTAAATGTCTAGTGTTTTCATAATGCGTATGAAAGTGACACGTGCGATACTAAAATATTTGTGTAACACTGACAAGCGCCTCCCCATCCCCTTTTGTTATGTAAGGAAAAAAAACTGTTACACAACTCAGTGGAAGAATAAATACTGGTGCACTCAGCCTAATTGATGTATTTGGCGACATAGAGACAAAGAAAAAAGCGACAAGGCAGAAAGTAATTGCATTTTCTTTATTTTTCCTCTTTGTCCATCTTCCGCTTACCACTCAGAGTAAGTAATGCTGGATTTACTTTTTTGGTTGCCTGGAGTAAAAAACAGATCAGTGTTTGGAGACTGACGTGTGCATGTTATGCGTGGTTACAAGCAGGAAGTGTGGGTCACAAATGTCAGAGAAGACTGATCTACTGTAAACTGTAGCATTAGTGTCAAACTCTGGTCCTGGCTACAGAGATTTATGGGCTATTTTACATTTAAAAGTAATTGTCTGGTGTTTGCTTTGAAATTATGCAGGGGATATGATAAAACACAGGGGTTGTTTTTTCATTTTGAGTTTTACAGGCATGGTTAAACTGTATTGTATGCTGTCTACAATACGTAACTGACCGAAGTGTTGTTAAGTAATTTTAGAATTCAGAATAATTTACAAAACGCACAGCGATCTTAAATTGCAATTTTTGCAATATTACAAGGGCGAAAGAACGGCTCACAGATTCGTGCAAACCTCTTTGTTTTGGTACACAAAAGGAGTCTTTATTTTCACTTACTGTAGGCTTGCATCTGAACCCGTTCCATCCCCCACCCCCCTTCACAACACCAAAGTGGAAAATGCACGATCTGTGCACTAATACGCTTTTACTTTACTGACATAAATTTAAGGTTACAAATTCAAGAACAAGAATAACATTGCAGCTATTCCGCCTTTTATAGGGCGAGAGAAGTGAGGAAGTGTGCTTAGGTGTAAGAGAACAGGTGTGAGATCGTGGAGCAGTCCTCAGCAGTTCAGGCCTATAATAATGTAGTTAAGAAATTAAACTACATCTAACGTGATATACCTATACGCTAGCTTTCATTTGCTGAGACATTGATGCCTAAGGTATAGTCCTGTGAGATTTCTCCTTCCCCAGAGCTGCTGTGGTGCTCACCACATGCTGTATTCAAACTCTACCACAGTAGCACTGCTGATAACAGTGATGGTCAACCTTGGCACCTGGACTATGGTCCCACACTGTTCCAGGACTTTGACTTTTCCAGTATGTTAGGCGCAGAATTCATCTTTAACTGCTTATTTAAGGCGGGTGCTACGGATCACTTCAATACTCGACGACTAGCTGGAGCAAAGACTTGCAACAGCATACTGTATACAGCAATTCTGATGTTACCGTTGACTACCCTTGGCCTGGGTCTGCAGTGTATAGGCCCCGGCATGGTGTGGTTCTTCCCATGACAATGACATTATTTTTAGACAAATACCACCGCATTTCATTTTAGACAAATGCTATTGATCTGTAATGCAGAATTTGTATTATAGTACATATCCACTTTTATCTGTGTTCACATATCATGCATTGCAAGGTTGATCTAATAATTATTTCAGGTTAATAAGCTATACATAATCAGAGGGTGCAGTGGGGCACCTATGGAAATACCCAGGCACTTTGCCAATTGCCTGGCTATTTCACATGACTTGTGTCCAGGCAGTTGGAGAATTACAGTACTTACAGCCAGTTGGGATGATCTCAAAGAAAGAAGTATAGTATGTTTTGAATCACAGATGCACATTTAAGTTACATAAATTGTCAGTCAGTTACTACTAGCAAGCCGTGTTACCATGCTGTCAGCATGCTATCTGGGAAGCTCACATGGTTTCCTCTGGGTGCTCCCGGTTTCCATCCACAATCTGAACACATACTGTACTACTGGGTTAACTGGCTTCCGAAAAAAACTGAACCCGGAGTGAGTGTGTGCTTGTTGGTATCTGTGTGTGAGTGCCCGGCCTGTGGACTGGTGTCCCATCCAGGGCATACCCTGCCTTGAGCCCATTGCTGGCCAGGTTAGGGTTCGACTCCCCCGCGGCCCTGTTCTGGATAAAGCAGTTAGAAAACGGATGGAAGCAATAACCTTGTCCCATTTGATTTATTTCCTTTGATATCAGCTCTACTTATGTTGAGGCACATCCTTTGGTTCTTGAACTTTAAAATTGTAAGTAAGATAAGATCACTTTATTGGCCATATACAATTTCTTGCATTAGGAATTTGTCTTTTCACATACCCCAGCTTGCTCTCCATGAGACACACAGACAGGGAGAGAAGCTTGGGGTCAGAGCGCAGGGTCAGCCATTTATACGGCCCCCCTGAAGCAGTTGGGGTTAAGGGCCTTGCTCAGGGGCCCAACGGAGTAGGATTCCTCTGGTGGCTGAAGGATTTGAACCGGTAACCTTCCAGCCACAGGTGTAGATCCTTAGCCACAGAGCCACTGCTCCGCCCTGTGCTTGTGCTTGTGCTTGTGCTTTGCTTTACTGTGCTTGTGCTTTACTGTTAAGTGCTTGTGCTTTACTGTTAATATCGCTAAACATGTTATTTTTTTTCCCCCAAGGATTGCAAGAAGATGACTTTGGGCAGGCACAACCCCAGGCGCTTTGTGGCCATGCTTCTGTCGCTGGTCATCTTCATAGTCACTATTGCCCTTAATGGCCTGGCAGGGGCAGGAAGTGGTAAGATGAGATTAACATACAAGGCAAATGCTCATGGTGGACAGCGGCAGAATGTTGCCCTCACAAGCTAAAGCATAAAAATAAAACATTTTTTTATTATTTCTACCCAAGGAGAAATCATTTTGCTCGAGAAGGAAATTGCGCGTATGTCAGAAAGAAGCAGAAATGACAGGGTGACCAAAGTGACTTCTCTCCTCCGTTACCCTGAGTTGTTGAGTACCTTTACTGTGAAATGAATTATTTATCTTGTGTCCAATTTCTGGTTTTGAAGGTCCTTTCTTGCTGAACACGGGGAATATATCAAACAAGTATGACACAGATATAACTCCTTCAGGATGGACTTTCTCCATCTGGGGGGTCATTTACGCTTGGCAAGCCAGTTGGCTCATCTATGTTTTCACTGGACTATGTAGGAGGTAACCAGAACCATTCGCACTGAACGTGTTACATGTTTCCTTGTGTTGTCTCCTATGGAACACACCACTGTGTTACAGGAAAATACCATGGTAACTGTTGCATGGGTTGTTGTGGAAAATATGTTGCCCATGTCATTTTTGATCCCAAATAATTAAATATATATTTAAAGTAGTTCTTATGATTGAAAAACAACTTTAACACTCAAACAACAGTCTTGAGATACAGGTCATTTTACTAAAAATTCACATTGAAATCATTCTAAGATTACTCATGCCTAAAAATAACTTCCCCCATTAGAGTTACATTCAGTTTTCATCAGATTAATTCCTGTCAGTAGGATTTGTTAAGGGATAATTTCAGTATACAAGAAAATTAATCACTGGTTAAGAAACCTTTTTTTTCATTTACATTTATATCTATTTAACCAATGGGGAGAAGCGTCCAGTTTGAAATGTTCCCGTAGTAATTTTCTGGAGAAGAACTTTCATATTCTATTAATAGCTGAATTAACAATAAAATGCACAGCTTGTTCATCCCACATACGATTTCTTGAGAATATGTCCTCTTTTGTTTTCCTTCCATCCTCATATTGCAAGGAAAACTGAGGACTGAGGAAAGACACAGTACAGTACAGTTCTTTTCAAACCCACAATTTAAACATGATTGTAACAATGCAAAGATGAACAAAATATTAGTTGGAGACACGCCTTCCTCCTTCCTTAGAAGGGCATCTCAAAAACAGTGACAGTCCAACATTATAGTACTATAGTAACACTCTGTGGTGCAATAAATTGATTGAGGTGGCGTCACAGGATCAAAGAAGTACACTATGCACCCATTTAAAAGAAATAAACCACAGTCTCGGGCTGTGAGACTGAAACATTATTAACATCTAACAGATCAGTATTATTGATAAAATGTGTTTATAGAAGTTAAAATGCAAGAAAAGTATACAAAATGGCCCTATTAAATTGAAATTGTAGGCCATGGTTTAAAGGATTATTTCACAGCTAAGAAGATGCAAAACATCAACATTTTGAACTGGTTTCCATACTTTTAAGTTTCTAAACACTGTGAATTAGCATTGTATTTGGCCAATGGTACACAGAGAATTCAGAGTCATAGGAGATAAAATAGATTTCAATACCACAAATTACAATATGAAAAGTAAGCATTATTACTGTAATACAGTATTATCTGATGTCTTCTAAAAGAACAAATCAGAATTAGGGCTGGTATTTTTACTTTCTGTAACAGAATAAAACTGTGACTTAAGACAATGGCAAATTGAAACTTTTTGAATGATTAGTTAAGCAGGGTAGTAGTGTTCTAACAATTCTAATTAACTCTTTCTTCAGAAATACTTATGGCTGGATGTACTGTGATCCTGCAGTCTTGCCCTATGGATTCTATGTGTCGTGGATCGCAAACATGAGTTTGAATATCACCTGGCTCTTTCTGTGGGACAGGGAGTAAGTAATATAACACACTACATGTTTTTAAAGTTGCCTTTGTTGAATTCAGTTACTGAAATGATAACTCACTATAAAAAGTGAAAAAGCTTACTCCTGTAAATGCGAAATTGCAGGCTGTACTGTACACAGTACAGGAACTGTTTTTGTTAATAGTGTGAAGTGACAATTTTACATTGACTGTAAAGTGAGTTCATGTAAAATGAGCAGAGAATACAAGCTCCAGCTAATACCACAGCCTTATCTTTCAGCCCAGGTGTGTGAAGCAGAAATACATTATTTTTGTTCAGAGTTTATTGCTTTATATCCCTCTTTGTCACCTTAATTTTAACAGCACAGTATGATTGTCTTCAAAAACAACAAACTGACCTCCTGTTGGTAGTCAGTGTTAATTTCCCCCCAAATCAGTACTCAACCGCCAACTAAACCTCATCATTCACAGCAAACCTTTCATGACTTTTCCAGCTCCCAGTGAGACATCCATCCTTCTAACAGCTTTATCCAGTCCATCAGAGGGCACACACAGACACAAACACACACACTCACACCAGGGCCAATTTTCTCAGAAGCCAATTAACCTACCAGTATAGCTCTGGACTGTGATGGGAGGAAACTGGAGCACCTGGAGAAAGCCCACACAAACACAGGGAGAACATACTGTAGTGTACTAACTCCACGCAGGTAGCTCCCTGGAGCTCCAGCACTGTGAGGCACAGACCTTGAATTCTGTATCAACCACACTCTATAATACCCGGGAATTTTTGCCCATGTTTATGTGAACTCTGCAGTTGTGTAGCCCGTAGCTTTAATGACAGTACTTTTTGTGTAGGTACCTATTGGTGAATTAAAGGTCTTTGCTCCTTTGAGTTGCAACATTACTGCCAGATCTTCTCTCTCTCTGAGCCACAGCATTGCTGACTGAAACCAAATGATCTGGGTGTCTGTAACATGTGCGCCAATCTCCTTTGCAAACAGAAATGTGCTGGAAAGCATTTTTTTGTGCTGTCAGACTCTTTCGTCATTTCATGCAAAGGAGGGGGTACGATTCTAGAAACGGATTCTAGCACATTCTACAGGCACATCTCAGGATCTCTGAATGGCATACTCAGACAAGGTTTATTAGTGATAAACTTAATGAATAATGAAGGGAGAAAATATGTCACTGAAGTTTCAATATACAGTATTTTACCTGCATTTAATATTTCCTTTTAAAGACTGAAATACAATTTACAGCTAGAAAGAACTTATTTTCCTCTGTGTCTTTCTTTTTCTCATAGGCATATGATACCTGCACTTATTTTCCTGGCACTGATCGCTTTCACTAACTACCTCGTTCTCTTCTTCTGCTGCCATGGGCTGAATTTGTATGGTGCCTGGCTGAACACATATCACAGAGCTGATCTCTGGCTCATAAGGGTCCTGGTACTGTTAATTTTATTTCTTATTTTCTTGTTAGATCAAGGCATCTCCTAAAACACTTTTAAGAATGATGGTCTTGAGAAGTTACTGAAAAAAAGTGATCAAATACAAATTAATAGCCTGACAGTGACCAAAAAGTGTTGATAAACATCATTAAGTGCATATATTTTCATATTAGTTTTTTTTTTACTATACACACCTATCATAGGGAAATGGTCACTAAAGCATGACATGTAATAAAGTATATGCGTGATAAAATAAATCAGGTAATAATTGAAAAGCAGATTTTAATTATGTTGTATTCCCTGAAAGTGGATTAAAGTTACTGGATACAGTATGTTGTGTGCGTATGATTGTAAATTGTATGCTGACCCTTAATGATATACATGTGTGTCTTTTGCAGGTTCAAAATGGGGTGGCTTTGTATGCAACCTGGACAACAATAGCCACACTTTTGAACTTTACTGTTGTTTTAATGTACAACGGAGGAGTGTCCAGAGCCATTGCTGGCACTGTATCTCTTTCGTTGCTCTTAATTGAGTTAGTTGTGTGGTAAGTGCTCATTTCTGACTTCATAATTTGTTTTTCATGTATCTGAAAATGTGTGGAATCCCACCTTCTTATAAAATACAAAAATTCATAGTGGAAGAATTTATCCTTCCTTTTGAGCTACAGTTTCCTTTTTACAAGAAAACATTGGTTTATTTAAAATTATTACTTTTTGATTTGCAAATGTCTTTGAGGATTTTGAATACTTGCATCAGGTCCCATCAGAGTCTTCTCTGTTCTTGATATGCATTACCTGAAATGTCTACCTTCTGCAATTTTGGTACTAATCTTAAATGAGGAATTATATCAGAATATAATTATAAGAAAACCTTAATAAATCATATGTTCTGTTTCTATCTATTATTCTATCCATTACTGCTCTTGATAGTTTGAAAGAAGTTTGTTAAGCAAGACATACCCTTCTAAATTCATGCTGTCCCTTACTTGAAGCAGTTTTGATAGGGAAACTTTGACAGGTTCTGTCATCATTCTGTATAACTGAATTTTATACTTGAAGTCATATCTTCTCCAAGCTGTAAAATATAGTTCTCTCTGTTCCCTGGGTTTATAACATCATTTCTGTAAATCCAGATATGATTCTCTTTCAGTGTAACAGGGACTTTTTGCAGTGCCATCATCAAAATAAAGATATAATTGCATAAAGTGTATTATTTTGTTTTAACATCATTGAGCTTGGTATAAACTCTTTTCTATACTTTTCTATTGTATATACAAGACTTTTGTTAGCTTTTTGTCAGACAAGAAAATTAAATATTTGATGTAATTAGTAAAAGCAGTACATACCAATTGGAACTCAAGGCAAATTCAAGTGGCATGTTTAATGTACAAGCTCAGAAAAAATAGCCTACCTACTCAGTGCAAGATGAGAGCATCGCGTTACATGTATTGTGTCTCAAAAAAGACTGTTCGATTTCTCTTTTTCCTCTTTCGCAACAGGTTTGCTTTGGAAAACTTTGTTCTGGAAAAGCATGTGCGCTACATCCTTACTGTGTACCCTGTCGTGATTGTGGCTTTGTCAGGAAATATGACTAAGAATTTCAACGCACAATCACCAAGTTCAAATGGAATTTTCATCGGTGAGTACAAAACAAAGTGAAACAAGAAGTGCCATCCAAAAATTGTTTGTGTGTTACAGTACTTGAGAGAGACGTACAGTATACATGCTTGTCTGTAAAATGTATTGCAGTTATCTTGCACTTACACTGAACATAAAGCCCTGTCAGAATGTGAGAGGTATTTTCAAGTCAGCTCTAAGAAAAAGTCCTAATGTGGTAAACCTACTTCCTGGGACTCCCTTGTACAGATTCTAGTAATTGTGCTTGTAATGGGCTTCAGATGCACAGGTGGTATTGATATTGTTGTAAGATAATTTGTAAGTGTATTGCTGTCCTACAATAGATCAAGGCATCACAAATATTTCTATTGAACTGCTTCTGTTGTTTGTTCCCAAGTTAAAATGGTCTTCTTTGAAAGCTTGAGCTTTTTCTTTCATTAGCATGGGTATAGTATATCACAGAGTAATCAGAAGTGGTTTCATTCAGTTTTCATCTTATAGTTCACAAACCAAAATATATGCAGTATACAGTAACTTCCTTATCTGATTTTCTAAAGCTGGAAAATGTGGGACTAATCCAAAGCTAATATGTCAAGCAATCACCAGTTGGCTGATTTAAACTGGTAACTTAAAAAAGTAGAGGAGGAGTGAAGGTACTGTAGCATTCAAGGAAAAAAATGTGCATTCTTTATTATCCATGTGAAGATATGTTGTTCTGATAGAGAAAAGCTAATAAAGGTCAATGTTTCACCTGATTAAGTGTCAACCACAATCAACAAATACGGTACAGAAAACCTGCTGGCTATGTAAACAAAATGTCCAAGCAAGAGATGAAAAAAGAAAAAAACAATGACTGTTTAAAAGTCAAAAACATCTCCAGTAGGAATTACTTAACGTTCCCCTGAATTCAGTCCCTCATAGTGCTAGATTTGCTTGTAACAATTAATTATTTATTGTTTTCGTTCCTTCAGTGAGTCACATCATTTTGGTTTAGAGTTTTTGAAACCTTAATTCTTAGGGTGTGAAAGGAACCATTTCCCCATAACACTGGTTTTCTCTTTGTTTTCAGCTGTTCTGCTTGGAATTGCGTGTGTGACTTTCACTGTGCGAGTCGTGCTTGTGATCTGGCGTCATCTGAGACATCCTTTGTACCGGGATGCAGACCCTTCTACACAATTGTCGCCAATGAATGTTGCAGAAACACAGAAAAAAATATTCATCTAGAAGAAGAGAAAGTGTTTTACTCAAACTATGAGATGTCTGGGAGCTTTTTTTAATTAAACCATTCTTGGACACTTTTTTCCTTTAAGTGCCAAGACATCGAATTTTGACATTAACACCAATTTATTAATGGTTTTAAAACTCAGTAGACAGTCATTTTACTCTAGAACATTCATCACTTGAGTCCTTGAAAAGGGTGCTTTTAAAATTATGGGAAAGTTTTTAAGTTTTACATACAGTACAGTTACCACAGACCTGACAGAGATTCCACTAAAAACACAAAGCCTTCTTGTTCCGGATACTATATCAGTAGTTCGGTTAGATCCTAATGAATGAACTAGAGGGATGAATTTGGTGGAGGGTATAGAGGCTTCCTGAAACCCCCCTCAGTATTGCCAGGAATGAGCTAGGGAGCTGCTGCAAGAGTTAATCCATAGCACCGCAAGTGTGCAAGGACCCTGGAGACCACAGGGGTCACTCTGTTCCCGAGAGAAGTACCCTGGCTGAGTAATCTACCCCTGCAATCAGCCAAGTGTGCTCGGCTGCTCTGGGAATCCCTTTCACAGTTGGCTAGTAAGGTGACCCAGGCTCGAACTTGGGACTCCTGCATCATAGATTGACTCCCTCACAGGAACTCATTCTTTATATTTTAATCTAGTCCAATGAAATATATATTCAGATATTTTTAACACTAATGCCTAGAGCTATACATTAAATGCACTTACAATGGAAATGTTTTCATGGAAAAAAAAAAGACTACACTCCTGCACTTTTCTGTGGTGAGCTTGTTTTCTGAAGTTCTAAGTGATACCATGAAGGATACTTGAGTTTTGTTATTATTAACTCCTCTTTAAATACACTAATTAACATTGAACACTTGCTTCACCTAATATCTGCAGTCAGTCTGAAGTCATACTGTTGCTTGAGTTTTCAAAATATTGACAATGAAGATAACTTAGCTTTCATGGAAAAAAAGAGGTGAAATCAAACGTCTTTAACTCAGGAGGACAAGAGACAGCTGTGAATTGGAAATTTTGAAGTATTGAGACCATTTCAGTATCTTCACCCTGGGAGAGAGAACAGATATGTGAAATATAGTACTTGCCTTTTTTACAGATGAAACAATTGCCTTTGCACTGTTATTTTTTGTGTGCATTTTTTTTAATTACGCTGATTTTTCAATATGTATTGTAGTGTCTACTACTAAGCTTAATGTTTCTTAACAACTGTTGCAAGGATTCTATAAATTACTCTTTTACCACTGAATATGTAATGTTAAGCTGTTTTTAACAATTGTTCATAAGCTGTTTTTAGATTTTGTAAATAATAATAAATTAATAATTATTCATTTCATTCATTCTGAAGATCACACACCCTGAGCCTGACATTTTTTGTAAAACTACTTTGTACAGAAAGATTAGAAATACAATACTTTAATTAATATACATATTGTGTGGTAATTTTTGTGTGATTACTGTTAACCAGTCTCCCACAATAGAACAATTTTGTTCTCTTAACACATCACAATGACATTGATTGTTAAGACATTTCACACAATTGTAGTCTTTGTCTTTATCATTTTGTATTTCCTGTAGTGGTAGAAGCTTTCCTTAAAAAACTTCACTAAGATGTCATTTAGTAAAAGGAGGAAGGACAAATGCATGACATTTTGCTGTTCATGCAGAACACCACAAATGGAAATGAAGTTTATCGGAAATACAGCCATTCACAATTTTAAAATGAAAAAACCTCCAGAGAAATTTCAGGGGAGAAGTGGGGACAGAGGGGACTGATGGCACCCATCCCCCCAGTGCAAGCAGAGTGGCAGAGCATAGGCCGGGACCATTGACTGGACCTCAGTCCTTGGCACCCTTGGGAATGGTGTTGATGGTGTGAAAATGACCCTCACCGCAGGGTGGAGAGCTCCATGAAAGACATGGATTGGTGCTGCAGCTGTGATGACTTTGGACTTCACTGCCCCAATCCTTTGAATCTGGAGATGCGCACCTTCCTCCTTAGGGAATTACATGTAGCGGGGTGGCATTGGTGGTGTCAAAAGTCTCCAGCCCAGGAAAGAGGAGGAGGACGTTTCAGAAGTCCAAGACTAGGGTCCAGTTGTCAGTTAACACGGAAAGCAAGGAAGGAACACAATTCCAATCCCAGAGTGCCCTGAGTGTGGGGCCATATGAGCTTGACTCAGTGAGAATATTCCTCGAAGGGAAGAGCTGAATATGTTCAGTCCCTCCGTTCCTTCTTGCAGCTCACATGACCAGGGTGTCACTGCTCTCGCAGGCCCACTTGTGTTCCAACTGCCAGGTCCAATTAGATGTGTCAGCAGCCATGTACCAGAGCTTGGTGCTTACAGGAGCCGCTGGAAGTCCAGCATGATGCTCTGAGGAACTTTCTGCAGCGTCTTGGGGTCTCCCTCCCTTGGAACACCTGACAGAGCTAGCAAGATAAAGAGCTGGGAAAGGAGCATCAAGAATGCAACACATTGACCTGTGTGAGGGAAAGAGTGAGGACCTTCAGGCTAATGAACAGCAGAGGAAGAAGAGCTAGCTATAGTCCAGTCAGGCTTACAGTGAATGCTCATTTTGAAAGCAATTGAAAGGAGTAAGTGATGAGCCATAAAAGGCTCAGAGCCTTGGTCATAGCCTCTAGGCAGAGCTGGAAAAGGCCGAATGGAGCTGAATGTCTCCAGTCCAGTATGTCCAGTGAAGAGGAGAAGGCACTTGGTGAGATGATATAACTCTGCAGAATGCAGATGTCCTGCCAGGAAACAGCTAATGGGAGGGAAGGGGAAATCAGAGGGAGGATCTACAAGTCCAACTGAAATCTGCAATTGGAAAGAATAAGTTAACTAACAAAAGATCCAGATTCTCAATCTGTCACCGGAACACTCAGAAGCACTGGTGTCTTCAAGTAGAAGATCCAGGAGGTGCTCAGTCCATCAGAGAAATCTTGATCCCAGTGGTCCTGCTCACGGAGGCAGAGGAGTCTAGGAACGCCTTACATGGAGGAGAATGAACAGTACAAAAGTAAACTTGTTGCCACAGAAGTGCTTGAGGACGATCAGAGAAGGGAGGGGCAGGAAAATGTGGCTTGGAGAACCAAGATTACTGCATTTCACAGCCAGCTGCAACTGGCCAAGCTTTAAACACAGAAGCTAAATTAGGAGCTAGTTTTGATCAGGCAGTGCCTACCGTTTGGCTACCATGTGATTGAAATGATCCAAGCTTCTCGCCCAGCTAATTCTTGCAAGAAGTCAGGGTTTTGGCTTGTGCAACATGGGTTATTAGCTTGTTTTGTACTCTCACACTTCCTTGTGTAAAGATGTGCCGCCTGTTTGTTTTGATTTCCACTTGTGACCTCTCTGTTGTTTTACTGTTTATGCAGAGGTAGTTAACTAGGTTGACTATCAGTGTGTTTGAGGATTTGGAATACTTGGATCAGACTAGGAAGGTTCAGCTCTTAGCCCATCTGTATACTACTTCTTAATGCAATGCCCAATCGTTTGAGCTATTTAGAATTGAATTATTCTAGTTACTGATTGTATTTTGCCAATCATGATGAAAACATTGGCATGCAGCAGGCAGATCGAATCCAAATGAATAAATGAGACAACAAAGGGAGTGGTTATCCACAGTTTGCAGGAACAGCTCGACATTCTATCAACCCCAAGTCCAAAGTTTCCCAGATAAGATCAGTATAAACATAACCTAACATGCAGCAGACATCTGAATCCTTTCTGATGCAGTATCCCACAATCTGATTAAAGATGGAGAGTTCAGTAACCTTACATGCTACTTTGATTGTTTCTTCGATACTGACGTTTGTGGCTACTACATTCTTTTATGTGGAGGCCACTACAGGATCCTTCAATGGTGAGTTTTTCTGAAAACTAACAGCTGCTCTCCAGTGCTTTCTGTGGCTATGTTTGTGTGTGAGCACTGAAACAGAACAGTAAATGACTGCCTCAGTAATTATGGAACCAAGATAAAAATTACATTTAATTTTATGAATGTCTTGTTTATTGTGCATAACTAATTAATTTATCAAATTATTATATTTTTCTTCTGCAAAAAAGATATGCAATCATTTTACGGTAGATATAATTTTTATCAGTACATAGTTTCTGTTAAGAAATAATTGATTTAATTAACAAATTGTTTGCATAATACTGTAATTTGCCAATCAAAACAGTTTCAGAAGCTAGTGTGAGATGCAGACTTATTCTGTAAGAGAAAGATTGTTTTATTTGTGCCTATCCTCTATGACAGCCCTCTTGAAACAGATTTTAGAGCAGAAGCTGGGTCTTTAGTATGGTCCTTATTTCAGATACCTTTCTCATTGTGTAGATGGGTTGAAAAAAACAATGTTTGAAAGTTTTTGACTCTCTTAGCACATTATATAAACTTAGAATTTCCATGAGCCTTAAGGAAAAGCACCAGCTGCACTTCTTAATGCTGCAAAATTATTGAGTGAAAATGTTGGGTTACATTATTGGTTTGAATGGTGCTCCCTAACAAGGGTAAAAGAAGGTGGAAAAAAAATATAAATAAGGAATAATATATATAAGATTTCACCCAAACACTGAGATCAATACACCAGAACATTCATTCAGGTCAGATTCCTCAGTTCCATTTTTTTTGGCTTCTTTCCACCTGTGGTCAATTTTTTACTGGGAGAGAAGAATTCACACAGTAGGTACAGTAATCTGTCAAAATAGTTAGTATAGAATAAGAGGAGATCCCGTTATTACATGTAACTTTACACGTTTGGCCCTTTCCTGCACTGTGTCAGCTTTACTGTACTTACAAGATTACAAGACTTTTGCCATTGTCCTTTCTGTCTTATTAGGGCAGACTTGACAGCTGTTACTGGTCTTTAAAATACTCAACATGGTAAAGACCTTGAGAAAATGCTCATAAATAACCACAATAAATTATTTTATTAGCGAAGAACTAAGAATGGAACTCAGAAGTTTTATGTCCCTTAAGGATTGGATGTGGTGCAATCTTATTATTTTATTTTAAATTATTATTATTTCTTATGATCTTCTTTCTCTTATTTCTTATTAATAATATCTTATTATTTATTTTAAGTTTTGAAATAAAAAAAATACAATGAAATGCTCAAAATAAGTCTATTTTTAAGCAGTCACTAACAAGTGTTGCTCCATGCAGGGTTATTTCTTACGACAATAGCAAACACTACAGAGGAGTATGTTCTGGAAGTTTCTCTAGACAATTGGCTCAGTACAACTTGGATCCTCATCGGCGTCTGGAACGGACTCTGGCTTGTCTATGTTTTCTCCACACTGTTCAGAAGGTATGTAACCTTGTTCAGTTAACAGGCAATGTGCACAAATTCCATTTTAACAAGAGGGAGTTAACAGCATTACTTCTTATTTTGTTAAATCTTCTTATAATCAGTGATTTATTAGTGTCCATTAATTCTGAAATCCCTGCTCTGTAAAGCATAAAGTGCAACAAGTCTGAGACAGAGAAGGGCTAAGTCGCTTATTTACTGATCATAATCACAGCTGACCAATTTAGCTGCATATGTTTAACCGTTTTTTGCATATGATCCAGAAATGTATACAAATATTTTGTAGTATAACAGTCTGCCACAATGGGTTCTGAGATTTTTCTAGGAGTTTATACATTTTAAATTTCTGGTAAGGAAGACAGGTGCATTCAGCTCCAGCAATTTTTTACAGAGCTTTTCCAATCGAAAAGCAATTATATATTTTGTTGTTGGTAC